ACAACTGCTGCAGCTCCACCAACTCAACAAGATGGTGAGTGACATCGCCATACTGATTCGGTCAGTGAGTGTGATTGGCTCAGCCTCACCGCTCTGCTCTGCTCCTATTGGCTGGCGTATCTGGACCCGCCTCCTGGGTTTATAATGAGGGGCTGCAGGTGAACGAGACACACAGCTGCTGCAGCTCCACCAACTCAACAAGATGGTGAGTGACATCGCTTCCTTTCACTGGCTCTCTATTCGTATCTATTCTATTCTATTCTATTCTGTTCAGTGTCACAGTTGCTCAGAGTGATCCACAGTGACTTTTAGCTGTTTGTTGTGTTGAATCAACAGCATGAACTGATGAAATCACTGTTTCCTCTGGAGAATCTCACCGCAGCAACACTGTGATTGCAAAATGAAATGTCAAATGAATTAAGAAATTACTCTAAAGTTGAATTATTACATTATTAAGAAATAACATGAAATAATCCAGAATGGACTTGATATGACTTACTAATTATTACTAATTAACCTGAAAAATAAACCTGTAACTTGGAAACATCTGCACATTTTAATATCATGATTTCAAGGCATAGAAAACAGCCACAAAACACTTTAAATATAAGCTTTCCCCACACATACATGTGGACATCAGTGGGTTTCAAGAGAAGAGATTTCATAGGATTCAGCAGCACTTAAACTTCTCTTTTAAAGAGAAACGTCACACTCATGTGAGGCTGATCATTCACCTGCTCATCTGCATTGTTATATACATATATAAAAGCCATCTCAAATATAAAATGTGACCTTGGACCACAAAACCAGTCATGAGGGTCAATTTTCGAAATTGTGATTTATGCATCATCTGAAAGCTGAATATTAATAATCTTCCATTGATGCATAGTTTGTTAGGAGAGGACAATATTTGGCTGAGATACAACTATTTGAAAATCTGGAATCTGAGGGTGCAAAAAAATCTAAATATTGAGAAAATCATCTTTAAAGTTGTTCAAATGAAGTTCTTAGCAATGCATATTACTAATCAAAAATTACGTTTTGGTATATTTACAGTAGGAAACTTACAAAATATCTTCATGGAACATGATCTTTACTTAATATCCTAATGATTTTTGGCATAAAAGAGAAATGTATAATTTTGACCCATACAGTGTTATTGTTGGCTTTTGCTCCAATATACCCCAGCGACTTAACACTGCTTTAGCGCTCCAGGGTCACACATAACATCTGGAAATATAAGAATTATAAAAATGATACAAATCAAAACGATATTTGATTTTCTTCAAAGTCTCCTCACACCGTATCTATCATCAGTCAGAATAACCTGTGGTTTCAGGGTCTGAATGTCGTCTCGTGTTAGATCAATATTTGCTCACTGGGTCTTCCTGTTCACTTCTTTATGACTTTATTATCGGCGGTTTATCATTAACGTTGGGTTTGGCCGCTCAGATAACACATTCTGACTGACAACCGTTCCTCTTATCGACAGAATCGCAGGTTAAACAGTAATTTGATCTGAATACATCATCACTGAAGGATAAAGAGCATGTGAACCTCTCACAACTGTGTCCGTGTCTTATCTTATCAATTCTATTGTGATTTCAAACCCACCTGAGAGTGATGTCTTGAATCGTTCATGGTGTTGTCCTCCGTCTCTCTCAGGTGTTCACTATAAAGGACATGAGCTTTAAGGCCGGGATGGAGATGAAGATCACTGGAAAGACTAAACCAGGCTGTGAAGCGTGCGTACATCTGCTTTTCATCTTCGAGAAAGTCTGTTTTAAATCTGTTTGTGTGGTACATAAAACATGTTGCTGAGTTTATATCAGTTACTTTACTTTCATTGAGACACTATTATTATTTTTTGTTGTTTTGTTCTTGTTTGAATATTTAATTGTATATTCTATGCTTTCACGTCAATTAATTTTAGTTACAATTTTAATAATGTTGGGTATTTTTAAATGCTTATATATATATTTATTTATTTTTTTTCAGTTTTAGTTTTAGTTATTTTAGCACATCAAGTTAAACTCAATGAAAATAAGAAATATTGCCTCCGAAACCAGCTGAAATACAATAAGCTCACATTCATTTTATTTCAAATAACAAAAATTTGTTTTTTTATGGTTTTACTTTTATATGTATATATAGTATAATTGCATATAGTTAATTGCATATAGATTGCATGCAATTTACGTAGACAATGTTATAATGACACTAACAGTGTTAATTTAATGGCTTGTGCAGTGCAGTTAAATCAATAAGATTGCTAAATATGAATTATCCTTTAAACCCCACCTGAGCAAACCAAAGCAGGCAACAGTGGCAAGAAACCACTTTTATATATTATCCGTAGAAACTGTCCATGCGTGTCTCAAAGCATGCGTCTCTCTGTCCTCAGGTTCTCCATCAACATCGGTCACGACGCAGACACAGTCGCCCTTCACTTCAACCCTCGCTTTAACTCGAACGTCATCGTGTGCAACTCCAACCAGGG